AGAAGGACATTGACATAGGTAGTATTAAATAGCTTGATCTTGGTGGAGATAGAGATGTAAGGGCATCTCCACAGATGTTCCAGCTTCCAAAAAGCTGTCCATGCAAGCCCTTCCCTTCTTTTGAGATCCCCACTACTAGATGCCATCATGGAGCCAAGGTATTTGAAGTCTTGTACATGGTTGATTGTACTACCATATACTTCTAGCGGAGGCTGTGGACAGCAGTTGATCGTTATATACTCAGTCTAGTATCGTTTGCAAAAGTCGCCAGGGTCCTGATGCAACCTCGTTCCCAGGGCTCTCTCCTACCAAAATATATATGAAATATCAGCAAGTCCACAGCGACAAACCGTTGGGTGGTGCCGGATCTCCCAGTTGTAGACCTGCAACGATCAGTACAATAACAGCTTGTATAAGCTATAGAACGGCAAACTGATCCTTACGGCAAGGCGATGAACAAGCTAAGTAAACGAAAGAATAAAACAAAAAATCTATATTTAAACAAATTTGCCCAGTATTTTAGTTTGAAAGACAAACCTTCTTCACGGGGTAAAAGAAAGGGACGGGCAGTTCTCTCCTAGCCGTTCTGCTCTTGCTCCGTGGGGATGGGTCAAGGAGAGAACCCTGGGAACGAGGTTGGCTCCTGATGTAGCCTATTGTGGCTGGTGCATAAGGAGTGAAAGGGAAGGGAGGTGGGCTCGCTCTGATTGGCTGTCAAAGCTCGAAGGTGGTTATCCTGTGCTATTTACCTCTAGTTCGGTTAACAATATTGTTAAGTATTGTCAGGGAAGCTGCGGCATTAACATCCGATAGTGCGACGCCTTCTAATGGGTTATGATTTCTGTGGTTGCACATGTTATTCTTTATATTAACTTATGGTAAAAGTGGTGTATACCTCATAGTTATTTAGAGTGGAGGACCCGGGAGGGTCGTAAATTCGAGGGGGTGTGCTTATTTGAAGAGGGGCGCTAATTCGAGCCTTAACTTACTGTAACTGTGTGTCTTACCAGGACAGAGGACGTGGAGGCTGCTTATTCAAAATGTGGTATCTGGGCTTCTACTACGTCAAGGAAAAACAGTATGTTCAGTTGTTACGTTACCATAGCAATAGAGTAGTTTGCTAGCCAGCTTCTTATTCTTTCCCAGTTTTTAGCGTTTCCCAGATGAAAGTAAGGCAGCGAGCAGAGGGATGGAAAATTCAACAAAAGCAGAGAACATGTTTGTTTCATATATCTTTCTGTGAAACTCAGGTTCAAATTCGCTTGCACAAACTATATGATCACAGCATGCCCATGACTTCATGTAGTATTACACTAGGACTGTAACTATTGCTTACCCATTACACAGTGAATTCGTCGGAAAAGTAGGAGCCCACGGTCACTTGTAATCAGCCGTCAATGCTTTTAAAAGCGTTAAAAGAGAACTGAACAAAGAGCACGATCGACTGATCGATTTAGAACAGACGGAGACAATCAGTTTTGGCCTGCCTGGTAAACTAACCACAAGATAGCGATTTTGAAAGGTAAGAATTTTTTTCCGTTACACCGCAAGAGCCTACGGTAGACCACGTAGAATGTATATTTGTACAGTCACAACGCGCACACGAACCAAATTGAATTAAGTTCAAACACAACTCTGCTGTGATCCCCGTGTGCTGCGAAGGGCGCAAGAGAAATAAAGTAGAGTTCCAGGTGGTAGGGGGAACGGGGGAAAGGGGTGGGGTACCGGAAAACCAAAAAAGATAGAAATGAAAGGAGAAAGAATTTTTCCTTCGGCTAGACCATATCGAGGCTTTTCTTTTGTCTTACTTAATGGAGCCACTGTTGATGGGCGAGGGGAATACGATTCTCGCTTAATCACGTTCTGTATAAAACACGTGCTTCGTTATGATCTAATTTTCTGCTCTCTACGAATATTGATCCTTCGGCTGAACAAGATCATCAGAGGTGCTAATGCATCGTATTTTTTTCTTCATTATGAGAACAAAATAGCCAGGGTTGTTTCTCAGCTACGTTTTACCCCGGTGAAGAGAATGAGAGAGGTACTGGCGAGGTACCTTACTGAAATAATGTCTTAAATTTGACTGACTATTTTGTATTTGTTGATTCACCCGACGAATGCTTTTATTAATTATTATTTTTGTTATCAATATTTATTTTTCATTTATTATGTTATGCCATGTTTTGTTTTGTTTGCTTTGTTTTTGTTTTTAAGTTTCAGAAACTCAACAGAGAGTGCAGCGTGTCCTAACTATGTTCTCTGACAAGAGAACTTTTAATTCGATTCTATCTTGTCTCTAAACTCAGTGGACCTGAAACGACTTCAAATGCCGTTTTCAAAGCTGTTATGATCAAATTCACGAAACTTTTTCTGATCTCATTTATATTTCATTGAATATGGAGTAGACTCATTTCGATGATACGAAAATTAATTCATACTTGGCTCTGACACTTGGGAGAATAAAACAAAAGAAATTTATTATTCATTGCTGAGGCTGATATTTTTAGTTCTATTCCCCTTAAAGTGCCAAGTCTGAATGTTAATATATCCGGAAATTGGTCTATTACGATCCAACGTTGCTTCTTTGAATTTCAAGAATTTTTTTCTTTTCTGTCTCATTGGCATCTACGATTCCTGTTCTCTCCTTCTGTGGGTAGGCGGACGCTTTTGCTGAAGAACTGTATGGAGAATTACGCATTTATTTATCGTATCCCTGAATTACGAAAAAGCTGAGTTAGACCTGCCAAAGCCTGGAAAGACCGACAAGTAATAATAACCTCTATATAGTACTGTGTGAGTACTAATGAGCTGGACGCTGCTGTTACCATTAAGTATTAATGAAGGGCATTTATTTAGAACTATTCTTCAAATTTTCGTTATCGTACAAAGAGAAAAGAATTAAATCACTTGTTAGAGCTTGTTCGACTGTGATGGAAAAAGAAGGAAGGTATTCCAAAATCATTTTTGTACTTTTGCAACATCGGTACTCGGATTTATTTATCATATAATATGTGTAATTGGGGTATTTATAAGCAATTTAGCTCAAAGAGATGGACCGAAGACGATTCACAAAGACATGTTCTCTTTTATGCGAGGGTGATGCTTGGCATATGACAATTTTTCACTGAAGTGGGGGTGGCTAGTGGTGGATAATCTTCCCGGCTCGGTAAATACTAACTAGTAACCACCGAAAATGAAAGCGCAAAAACCACTGTCAACTGTTTTAGTAAATACTAGAAATATATATATTTTTAATATGTTGCAAAATGCTAAGCGTATATTTTCCCAGAAATTTGAATTATAAAAAGCGTTTTTTTTCCATTTAAACCATTTTTGTTCAATATATTAAGTTTGGAATTCATGAAGCGTTTGGTTGCAAATCCGTTGTCAAATGTTGTGTAATTTACGGACGCTTTCCATTCAACCAAAACCTTCGAAAATTTGGAATCAGCGGCAAATGATAAAGACATTTCCCGGAAAAGTTTCTAGAAATTCCGGAAACTGTTGAATTGCCGAAATGCGAACCATTCAACCGAAAATTCTAGATTTTCCGGGAGCATAGTTGAATGGAAACAAAACTTCCGGAAAAACATTTTCGAAAATTTGGGTATACATCGCAAGGTTGTCCTGTTTTTTTTTTTTTTGCTCCTGGAAGTTGCTGAAAATTCTAACCGGACGTTTTGGTTGAATGGCATGCGCCCTCTGTCTCATTCACCTAATTTTCCGGGAGCATAGTTGAATGGAAACAAAACTTCCGGAAAAACATTTTCGAAAATTTGGGTATACATCGCAAGGTTGTCCTGTTTTTTTTTTTTTGCTCCTGGAAGTTGCTGAAAATTCTAACCGGACGTTTTGGTTGAATGGCATGCGCCCTCTGTCTCATTCACCTGCGTGCGTGTCTTACCGTGGAAGACTCGGTTACACTTCCCCAGTCTTCCTCTGCCTTTATAATTCAAGATGGCGGAGGGTCAAAACTCGATGAAGTTCCTGTAATCCCCTCCTTGAATAGACGCCAGAAATAGATTCTTAGATGAAGGAACAAGGAAACAAGGTCTTTTGACCCGAATTTCCAACGATTACTGGATTTTTCCTGTTTTTAGTTCGACCTGCTCCTGTTAACCTGCTCGACGAAATCGAACAGGGACCATTCGAGACCACCATCGAAGGAATCCACTTAAACAGAGAAACAACATGTCCTCCAGTGGTGACAAGTTTGTAAGTGCAGACTGCGCGCTTAATGCTACCGTGCAAACGGGCCGCAATTTATTTACTTTAAGGTAGCCAGAAGCATAATACAGCTGATAATAGGGTTATATGCTTCTGAGGTAGCTCTGAAACCCTTCCAGTAAGTTTTTTTTTTCTTTTGCAATGTTTCCAAAAGGTTTTATTTCAAAATGCTTTTAACAAGTCAACTTCAAATACCTTATAGACATCTGGTACTACTACAGACCTTTTCATGGTTGTACCAACTTTTGACATGGACAAGTTAGGGAAAATCGGTCAACACCACTGGGAAGAGCACCTTAATTCTTTTTGTTGTGGGCAAGTTTGTGTCCCCCACCACACAAACGTCTGCAAAATTTCGCGACTTTGAGGAGCTATGTCTAGACTGCAAAACAGTCCGTATTTTTGCGTATTCAAGTACGTACGAGCAGTCAAACAAAAGGTCTAGAACGAGGCTGAGAACAGAGAGCGAGACTCGGGAGAGACGCTAAAAATACCTACGGGCGTGTGAGGCTCGCGCGCTTCGCGCGCGTAAGACTCTTACTTGGCCACGCTTTACCTAGTTCTTTGCTGATTCTGAGAGAAAAAACCGACTGTTTTGCAGTCTAAGCTATATCGTGGTTAGTTTTCAACAAATCACTTTCAAACTAGGCAATTTTAATTTTATTTATTTTACGGCGCTCTTTTCAGTGTAGACTTTCTCAAAGAGCTGTGAAAAGGTCTTTTGTTGTTTGGTTCTTTATAATGCCTACTTATGTTGGCAAAATCATATTTATTTCCAGTCGCCTCACAGCCACATTCCGTACGGTGTAGATGGCTCTGGATTCTACTCGGACAACACAATCGGCTGCTACAACGTGATCTTAGAGTCAGCGCCTCTCATGTTACAATGTATCAAGTCGGCGTCTGTAACTCCTGGTTCTGTGTTCACCATCGCCGACTTTGGCTGTGCGGATGGAGGTACCTCTATGCCACTGCTCTACGCATGCGTGAAAGAACTGAGAGAAATTCATGGTGACAGTCTACCTATTCACGTGATTTATGAAGATCAACCAGTAAATGATTTCAAGTCTTTGTTTCTTCGGTTGCAAGGTATTCTGAGTGTTGTCTAGAAACTGCTAAAAATGGTCGTGTTTACATTCAACGTCTAGCGAGGAAGTGAGACTCGTACACCATGCATACATTGCATGTGGTACATAGTGTCTAAGGGTGGATTTCCACTGTCACTTAATTTTTACGTGCCTACGCGCCTAAAAATTACGTGCGTAAATGAAATGGAGGTTACGTATGAAAAGCCGCGCGCAGACGTAAAAGTTGAGCAAGGTTAAACTTTTTTCCTATTTTTGCGTTGTTCTTTGCCTTGTGCACAACGTTTCCAATGATAACAGACTAATTTGCGCGTGTGTCAAAATACTAATTATTCGACATATTTGCATTTTTCAAAAGATCAGAATGAGCGCTAGTCCATTTGTGGGAGAAGAGGCCTAAGATCAATCTGTAACTGCCATATTTTCCAATTCTTTCGCAGGACTTATACCCGGTCCAAAAAGCTATTTTCTAGACTTCTCTAACGTGTTTGTCACTACGTGTGGTACCAGCTTCTACAGCCAATGTCTGCCCCCTCAGTCTATAAATTTAGTATTTTCCGCCACCGCCATGCACTGGTTGCGAGAGAAGCCTTGTGACGTCACAGGAGCGTTGCATCACACAATGATAACTGTTCCAGAAGAGGCGGAAAGTTTTAGAATCCAGGCTGCAAAGGATTGGGAAACACTCTTACTGGCTAGGGCCAAGGAGATGGCTTCGGGTAAATAGAAAAATACAGACCCTGTTCTCACCAACCTCGTCCCCAGGGCTTTTCCCTTAAAAAATGGGTGGGGCGGCGCGGCACGAGGCTGGGTTCTCACGTCTCCGGATATTTTTAAAAACAGAGATTTTTATCCTCCGTTCTACTTTCCATCCGCACGTAAACGGCGTTTTCGGGTACCAAAAACGTGGGTTCTCGAACGGTCCCCAGAGTGGAGTTTCTGTAAACGCCGGTTTATCGTTTTCGTGTGGACGGACGTAAACGAAGGTTTTTGAATGCGATGATGTCATACATCATACAGCGCATGCCCTGAAAGGTATGCTATCGTATGTCCATCGTTTCCGCGCTTTCATGTGGACGGACAAAAAAGAATCGAGTAAGCTACATTTGGACGCGTATTTTTCGAAGAAAAGCGAAAAAAAATTCTCCGTTTTCAGAAATATCCGCATACGTTTGGAGACCCAGCAGTCAAATCACTTCTGTTCGATAGAGACACGTTACTCTGCCTGGGAGTGTACAAATTTTCACGAGAAGAAGCTCCCCCCCTCCTCCCTCAGGTTCAGATGCTTAACATCTCGTACACCTCTGTTGAACAAAAAGGTACTCTTTTAATCCACAGAATATGGTACCCATTTCGTATACCTATAGAAGTGTTATTTTTGGTTCATCACTGAGCGACTTTGCTTTGACTATTCTCTTAATTTACTCAAATGTATCCCGATAAGTTAGCACTTAAGTGCATCTTTGTGAGGGACTTCAAAGTTGCTATGTCACGAAGTTAACAAACTTCAGACAGTTAGAGCTTCCACCAAATTGCGTGCAACTTAAAAATAACCGCTCAGAACACTAAAAGAAGGTATAAATAACACAGCAAATAGAAAAGAAGGCACAGATGGACAAAGAAGAAGATTGAAACGGACTGCAATTGCGGTTCTTAAAAACTTGTAAGCCTAGCAGTTTTTCAAAGGCCATTTTTGTTATTTTTCATGTTTGATATAATGCTTTGTGAGAGATATTTGTTTGATACGAAGCTGTGATTTTGCTACTTAATTACAAGTAAATACCGTAAAATTCCGAAAATAATGTCCTCCACGTATAAGCCCCTCCAAATACAAGTCCCCCAAATTCGTAACCCAAAAAACCCCTCGTTAAATCGCCCCTCCGAATATAAGCCCCCCGGGGGGCTTGTACTTGGAATTTGCCCTCGAATACAAAGTAAAACAAAGCAAAAAATGGTAAGTTTCCTTCCCACTACAAGCTAGCCCAATCGATTTTGAAACGAAAATTTCCCTCCGTACATAAGGCCCTCCGAAAATAAGCTCCTCCAAAAATAAACCGCTCAAAAAGGGCCTTTGAAAAATATAAGCCCTGGGACTTATTTTTGGAAGTTTACGATACCTCGCTAACGTCACATTCCTTAGCTAATAAAAACGCGTTATTGGCAATCTGATCAACCCAATGAACTAGACTGCCTTGACACATGCCGTCCTTTAAAAAACCTGGCGATGCAACTGCACTGCCTCATATGGTAGGTTACCTAATTCGTTTCTTTTCGTCAATTAACTCTAGTAATCTCTACCCTTAGGCGTTCTCTAGCGATCCCACTGTATTCCAGCGTGCCAAGGCTGACGGTGTTTACAGACTTTTCTCAGTAATGGCGATTTTCAGATAAATAGTTGTTCCCTTTTCTATCTTTTGATTAAGGCGGAAGAATGGTCCTTGTTCAGTTCGCTGTAGATGATGAAGGACAGTATCTTGGAGCAACGAAAAATGTCCCTGTTTCCATGCATCGAACTATGAGAGACTTGTGGAAAGGACTCCTCGACGAGGGCCTTATAACGCAGGTCAGATGTTCTCTTCTTAACCATTGTTACTCCCCGAAATCCAGTCAAACACCCAACAATAAAATTAATTGGGATCTTGGTTCAGTCTTCCCTTCGCGCTGTTGTCGTGGTCCACGTTGTTGTTGATGATGTTTTAGGGGTGAGGGGCATGTGCACTTGGCTACTTTGTGAGAGGTGTGGCATGAGTACCCGTGCACAGCTTAAGTTCATGATAAGCGGACAATTTTTGCCTGATTCCTAATCTGATTTAGACTTTCTCTGGTCGAAAACCTTTTTTTCTGTAATTGTCGAAAAATACCTCATCTTAAAAGCTCATATTGTACATCAAATGGGCAATGAAACAACTAATTTGCTTCATCGGTTGGTAAACACTGCGAGTGATTCATCTTGTTGACGAGAAAATTTACAGTATCTCTTTTTGCAGGAAGAGTTTCACCGAACTACGTTTGTCAATTACTATCGGACTGTAGAAGAGTTCAAGACCCCATTTGAATCATCGGATTCTCCCGTAAGCATGGCTGGTCTGTCGCTGGTTTCCATAGAAACCAAAGTAGTACCATGCCCTTATAGGGAAAAGTGGTTGCAAAATCGGGGTGACGCAGCAAAGCATGCGCGGTGGTTTATGCCAACAACGAGGATCTGGAGTAATGCTACGTTTACTTCCGGTAAGAGAAAAGTTGCTCTATCAGACAAATTGTTAAGTCTTTATCAGATATAAAGACACCCCTTAAGCATTAATTTCTTTTGTTTTTTCTTTATGAATTGTTAGTGAGGTTTTGAAGATGTATTAAAGTATATTTTATGAATTAGTTAGCAAGAAAATTAGCAAATATATATCAGCCGGTTTTTTTGAAATTTCCCTTCGAAAAGCTTGTTTCATTGTTGTAAATATACTTAAAATTTAAAAATTTGGGTTCTACTTTTTTTAAATGCGCAACTTCTTTTTAGTAATTGTAAGCAAGACCAGGCTACTCGTAGGGGAAAGTTGTAATACAACACTTTCCACGAGTTGCGTCAACAGTAAGAGGTTATGATTTCCATGATTTTTGGTAGTTAGTACTTTACTTTAGTGGCCTGGCGACAGCCTTGGTGAATTACTTGTGTTATTCTCTATGTGATTTAAAATTATCGGTACATAACTTGCGTGTTGCTGTCAATATCTTCCTTAGCACTGTCAGATTCTCGATCACCTGAGGAAAAGGCTACCATCGTTGATGAATTCTTCAAGCGGTACGAAATCGAGGTGGCCAAGCATCCAGAGGACCACGGGATGGATTATGTTCATGCCTACATAGTTATTGCGAAGAACTGAGAGACTCTTGCTCCACTTACCAACCGTGGGTGGGTCGGCCGTCATCATGAAATTCAGTCTCTTTATCATGTAACAGCTCTTGGACCGTCCAAGCCTACTTTCATGTTAGGGCATCGAAATAAAATAAAAATTCTATTTGTAGTCCAGTTGTGAAGCCTTCATACTTTTACTGAAGAACCCTCGTCTTTTAGTTAGTTTAAACGTAGACTCCATTTCCAGCCTTTTGAGCGCCAAGGTCCCCCAAACGGCTGTTTATCGAGCCTACAATGTAAGCCGTAATGTGTTGAAACAGAAATTTCTTGCCTTGACCCCATTATTCCGCGCGGCTTATGCATTTCCGATCACGTGGTCCGACCGAGTTGTCTTTTCGAATACGTCCCAGAAATGCATTGACCGAGAGGGCCAGGAAAGAGGCCGTACTGACACTAGGCCAAGAAATCTCTAGAATTTCACGTTACAGTCTTAATTTGGTCACCCTGCTTTTTTTGCATTTTTGATCGAGAAGGAGGGCCCGCTGCCTAGACTAGTCAATCTGGTTTTTTTCGTAAAACTGGGTTTTTCGATGGCTCACACCTGTTTCTTGATAAACCGATGGTCACAACTGAGCCCGCTGTAGAAAGCGCATAGCTATAAGGCCTGGGTTTGAAACTATATCCTGGTATTCTCGTCCCCAGAGCCACTCGGCTTAATTTGTAACGAAGACCATGTGACCAAGAATCAACGGGCTCTGGGGACGAGAATGATATTCTAGCAACATGCCACGCACTGCACAACAAAGGTCTTACTCAATTCATGCAGTTCTCCCGTTCAGCCAATGGAAAGGCCCTACTGGCAGGGTGTAATTCGCTTCTCTCCTCGCCCAATATTTAGAAACAGTTTGATGACTACAATCTGCAAGTCAACATTGGGGAAACCAGTGGTCAGGACGCAAAATGTTGGCTCTTTTTTCTGGCTAACGTACCAGCCGAGGGGCACCGACCGCATCGTTCGGGGTTGGGTGTCGGAAAATAATACCCTTTATCATGCAAAACTGAATGCTGTGATTTTTATTGTCCACCTTCCATAGTGTACCTATAAAGCCGCAGCAACAATAATATGCACTTACGAAAACAAGTGCAGGCATTGCTTTAAATAAAACATTTTTCCATAAATTAACATTCATGGCAATAATTCGTGACAATACGTCACGACTAAGACGTCTGGCGCTGAACTCCATTCATCAGAAACAGAAACACAACAGGTTAATAATTTGCTTTACATTCAAGCTTTTAGCAACTCAATTTTTGTACTCTTTCACTCCAGTCCGCTCTCGTCTTGTTCTGCTCTAGAAAACGTATATCACCCACATCGTTTGTAAATCTTTTTTAAATATCTTGTTAAGTACACTAGTAACACAATTTAATTACGGTTAACGCAAAACTGAATTATCTTCAGGCCCGTTTACATGGAAGTGGAGGACCCGAAGTGAGGTACCCGTTTCATTAGCTGGGGTACACCCAGCCCACCAATCAAGTAAACGTGATATCAAATGAAAATGAGAGATTACATGGACAGGCGAGTGAACACACCTAAGAGGGTCACCTCACCTTCCTTGGCTCCCCAGCCTCCATGTGACCAGGCACTAAATTTTTAATGTCGACCCTCTAATTTTACTTTTAACACCACAGCGCTAGCAAGAAAAATCTGTAGTTGAGAACAAGTTCATTCCTTGTTTTTGCTTTAGATACGCCGTTTGCTAAGATAAATATTCACCACCATAGAGGGTTTCGTTAAAGCATTNTACGAAAACAAGTGCAGGCATTGCTTTAAATAAAACATTTTTCCATAAATTAACATTCATGGCAATAATTCGTGACAATACGTCACGACTAAGACGTCTGGCGCTGAACTCCATTCATCAGAAACAGAAACACAACAGGTTAATAATTTGCTTTACATTCAAGCTTTTAGCAACTCAATTTTTGTACTCTTTCACTCCAGTCCGCTCTCGTCTTGTTCTGCTCTAGAAAACGTATATCACCCACATCGTTTGTAAATCTTTTTTAAATATCTTGTTAAGTACACTAGTAACACAATTTAATTACGGTTAACGCAAAACTGAATTATCTTCAGGCCCGTTTACATGGAAGTGGAGGACCCGAAGTGAGGTACCCGTTTCATTAGCTGGGGTACACCCAGCCCACCAATCAAGTAAACGTGATATCAAATGAAAATGAGAGATTACATGGACAGGCGAGTGAACACACCTAAGAGGGTCACCTCACCTTCCTTGGCTCCCCAGCCTCCATGTGACCAGGCACTAAATTTTTAATGTCGACCCTCTAATTTTACTTTTAACACCACAGCGCTAGCAAGAAAAATCTGTAGTTGAGAACAAGTTCATTCCTTGTTTTTGCTTTAGATACGCCGTTTGCTAAGATAAATATTCACCACCATAGAGGGTTTCGTTAAAGCATTTACATCTTAATTACCGAGAAATGAAATCAACCCATTTCAACAGAAACCAAACAAACAACTTCGTGCTGCAAAATTGGATATGCGAACAATTTGCACTCTGTTGTATTCCTTTCATACGGTGGAAGCGTTAATAGAGAGATTAAGAACCACGTTTAAGGCAAAAAGGCAAACTTCAACTTATGTCAGGTGATATAGTCTTCCCCTTTACTTATTGTTATCTTATTTTCTCGAATAAGCGCCGCGGCGTTTATTTTATCTTTTACGCCTCAAATGTTGCGCCTGTTTGAGAGTGGTGCAAATTTGAGGACGGTGTTTATTTGAAAGTTGCATGCGACAAAGAATTATTTTAACTCCCGTATTGTTATTTTCCGTAATAAGATGACAGAATTTGATTATATCGGGGCCGTGGCACTTATTTGAGTAAATACGGTCTTCTTCATTTAGGCTATAAGCAATTATCAGTGAATTATGTTGCAATTTTTTTTTCCACTTATTTCCAAATTGGAGAAATTGTCAAACTTGACTCTTACCTTTGCCGTTTGTCGTTAACGTGATTCTAAATCATTTCAAAAATGTTCTTCCATTTTGTCAACAAGTTCATATATTAATCATTTTAATCTTGCACTACGCATTACTTATTCAGATCCTTGTTATCTTGGCTCGCTGATTGCGACGTCATTAAGTCAAAAACTCGCCTCGTGTTTTCAGCTGAGGCCCTGGCTACCTCCTCTGCATCAACTCCAAGGCATTTTGCCACGATGTGAGCCACGATGGGTAAAGTGCAGGGCTCGTTTCGTCCTCGCTTGCATCTTTTAAGAAGAGACTTACAAACATCATCCAGCTCTTTATCAGAGGCGTTTGGCGTCATGTACGGAGCATTGCTTTCAAGCAGAATTCTGTCGAGGGGAAGCACTCCTTCTTTGAGAGCATCGCGCAAAGCTTTGCCTGGGACCTCTGAAGAAAGCAAAACAAATTTGATTAAAAAGTGCAGATATGAGAAAGAGATGAAAACAAAACCAGTTAGAATCCAGACAGTGACCAGGGCCTAAATTTGGTACTTTTTTATGATCAAAAATAACGAGCATTGCCGTAAATGACGGGATCAAAACCCAAGCATCTTCCAATTTCTTTTCCTTATTTCAAGAAGACATCCACAACGAAAACCACTGTCCACAACCGATACACCTGCACACGTTAGGGAAAGAGTATCAGAAATTGATCGCTTTAATTGCAGCGTACTTATTGTCCTTTTCATTTTTTCAAACGCATTTCACAGTCTTCAAGAAACACTATGAACTATGAATCAAAAAATACAATTCCCTGGCTTTTCACTGACTTTGACAGTATCAAAGATTTTCCTTGACTTTTTAAAAAATTCTCACTGAATTTTCCCTGACCTTGGAAAAATAAAATTATTCTTTTTTCTGATTTTTCCCTGAGCAAAGCAACCCCGGATTTTTATCCCAAAACGCTTTTTTTTCTTGACCAAGACCTCATAAAAAGAGCTTCACAAGGGAAAATGTTTTAACCTCTGATCTCGCCTACAATTCTAAGAATACTGAACACTCACCTTTGCAAATAAAACCACAGATTCCAATATAGAATCCCATTGAAACATAAGCGCTCATTTCAGAAACACTGCCAGTAAAGCAGTGGATCACAATAGAAGGTAATCTGCCACTAAACTGGCTCAAAACTTCAATGAACTTCTGATGGGAACCTCGCTCATGAGCCAAAAGTGGTTTCTGAACTTCACAAGCAATGGCAACCTGATGAGGAAAAAATGCAGGTCATTCAATGTTACAATGTAAATTAGAGACATGAGGGCTGTGTTATGCAGACTGTAGGTTAAGAGAACACAGGAGTCAATACGCTGTATTCTTTATTGAATTCGCCACAGGCACTCAACACGGTGAAAGGGGATGAAAAAGTACTTGTGTCCTGATATC